GCGGTGATGGGCCCGGGCCCGGCTTCCGCAACAGGCGCCCACCGCCTTCCTCGAGACCACCGTCTTCAGCCCGCAGAGCGTGGGCACGGGCCGCAGCAGGGACACCAGCCGCCAGCTCTGAACCCATCACGCACCAGTGCAGCACCACACACCGTCTCTCCCGCCCCGAGACGCTGCTCTGAGCGATGGAGCCCAAAGCCGTGGGCTGAATGGAGCCAACGGGCGTTTGAGAGGGATGGCCCAGAGACCGAGGGAGTTGTATCTGTGTATCTCTCTATATCTCAGAGACAAAGTGGTGGTGATTAATTGGGAAGTGTGAGATCTGGGCAGGATGGAGATGTTATAGACCAAGGGGTGGATAATGTCCTGGTTTGGGTGGGGAAAGGGTGAATTGTCACAAGCAGTTGGGGTGGGACACGGGGGAGGAGGTGGTGGAGGCTTCAGCTGACCTAAAGTAGCCAAAGAGACATTCCACATGGCCATGGGGTGGCAGGGGGCAGAAATCGCCCCCCCGGGAGCGGGCTGCCCTTGGGTCGGGTGGAAGCGGTGGTACTTCCGTCCTGTGCTGTACATTCCTCCGCCGGTACCAGTTGTGCTGTTTTCCTCTGTCCTTCGCTGTGCTGTGACACTGCCTTTATCTCGACCCACCAGTTCAGCGTTTTCCTCCCAATCCTCCGGAGCGAGCGGCAGATCCCCGGGTGCTCTGTCACCCGTCGGGCCTGAACCGCGACAGAGGGGCTGTGGGGCTGCGCTGTGGGGCTGGGACCAGCTGTGGGGCTGGGGTGGGTTTTGGGGACCCAAGTGCTCTTCCCGATTGGGAGCAGGTGCTGCGATCAGCACTCGCTCAGCATCAGCAGCTCATTTGCGCTGAGCTCGGACGGAACGCTCCCTCGGTGCGGGAAGAATCGCTGGTGGCTTTGTGTGACTTTGAGGTGTCGGAACTTACCGACCTCTCCTGGCTGGAGGTAAAACAGAACCAATCTTCTCTTCAGGAATTATAATTCTTAATTGAGCCTCGTCTAACTCTCCGAAACGAGCAGCGTGTGCTTCGCGCAGCGTCTGCTCCCGCCGCGGTCAGAGCTGTGTTCGCATGATGCTCAGGAACGGCAATTTCCACCCAGGAAATGTACCAGTTTACTAGTTTGCTCCTCAGGAATTGTACCTCTCGGTTCAGTCCCATCCAACCGACAGCGCTTTCTGGAATCGAGTGCCCATTTTTGGGGCAGTTTGTGCTCTGGCAGTGACCAGAGCGTGTCTGTCGCTGCTGCCCAGGCACGGTGCGCGGAGGCTCCTGCTGACGCTCGCTGCTCTGACACCCAGCCCGGCTCACGCTGCTCCGTGCCCCGTTGGAGGGGCGGCAGCGGGAGAGCGCAGAGGAGTCCCACCTGCAGGAGGAGCGCACGGGACGGGGGACCCAAACCTGACCGAGGGGGTGCTCCGTCCCATCTGCCTCTCGCTCAGCGTAAAGCTGAGGGACCAAAGGGTCAGTGCTCTTCCTTCAGTGGCCGACGGCCGAGGAGGACTCTCTTCCTCTGCCTTTGATTCCCATCCTGAATCCAGATCCCAAACCCAGTTCCCTTCCATCGCTGAGTCCAGTCTGGGTCCTCCCAGTGCCACCAGTGACGTGATCATCATCCTGGGATGTATATATTGTATATATTTATATATTGTACATTTTTCATTATTATTATTATTATTGTGTTATTATTTTATTATTAATATTTTGTTAAAGTATTTTTAGTTTCTTTCAAACTCGTAAGTCTCTCTCTCTCTCTTATTTTCTCTCTCTCCATCTCCGAAGGGAGAGGGGTTAAAGACAGCATCCGTCGTTCGTTCATTGGTCCCGCCTGAACCACGACACTCCGAACATCGTGAAATTCTCTAAGTGACATTAATGACGACCGCCCGCCCAGCGAAATGAGTCAGAGCGAGCGTTATGCTCAGAGGAAAATGAACTATAGTTCCCGGGACTGCAGAAAGGGACTGTTGTACCCGGAGGCAAAGGAACTTCAGTCAGTGCAACTCTTAAATTAGCGGGATTTTGCAGACGGCGGATTCCGGGTCTGGGAGAGTTAATTAATCCTTTAACTGAAGTCGGGAGATGGGAAGAATGAGAACCTCTGCTGTGGGTCCCAGACAGACGGCGGCACTGGAAACTGCAGAGAGAGCTCCGATGCTCCACACCGCTGCTGTTGCCGCAGGACGGCGCCCCACGTCACGTGTGAGAAAATCACGTTGACAACTAATAAGCCACGAGAGGATTTAAGAGCTGAACCCGTGTTAAACCCTGAGCTAACTTTACCTATGGTTGGATCCTCGTATGAGCAGGGTGGGAGACGCGTGACTGGGCGTGCGGTAGCGGATGACGATGGAGTGCGGGAATCCGCCAGCAACGGTGAGTGCCCGAGGGGCAGAACCGACCGCCCGAGCGCGAACAGCAGGACGGGGTAAGAAGCAGCGGGTACACTTTTATACCGACTCAGGATCTGCCTTCGGAGCGTGTCACGCTGTGGGGATGCTGTGGGAGGAGAGAGGAATCCTGACCATGGCGGGAAAAGAAGTGGCGCATGGAAAGGCCATAAGGAAACCACTGGGGCTGTGCCTTTGCCAGAGCAAATATGGGCGCTGCGCCGCACAGCCCGCACGGCGGCGGAGAACGCCATCGCCCCAGGAAATGCCCGAGGTGATGCCGTGGCGGAGGCAGCACCAGACAGCAGGGACCAGGTCTCGCGCTGGTGAGTCAGAGCCTGGGGGGACTGAGCGCACCGGGGATGACTGAGCTGCGCGGCGCGGCAAGCTCGGCGGGAAAAAGCCATCGGGAAAAACGGGGCGTGATCCAAGGGAAACACAGCGGGGGCGATGCCCAGAGAACCAAGTTAACAGTTTGTCAAGAAGCGTGGGTTGGGTCATGGTTGAGACACCGCAGGAGGCTCCTGACCTTGGATAGGGTGTGAAAGGGAACAACGCGTTGCGGGTGTTCTTTCGCAGTAGCTGACTTTGTCATAAAATAGCAAAAAATACAACTTCTGGACCAAAGTCGAGCCAAGAGTGTATCCCAAACTACCCGTGGGTAATTACAATGCTAAAACACACACCCCCGTCCATGAATAACAAGCTTACTAATCAGGTAACCCCCCTCAATGCTTTAAACAGGAGCTTAGATGCGTATGTACAGTTAGGAGTGGTGAATGAATCCTTGTTCACCCATCAGCTGTATTTTATCGCTATAAACATCGGCCGGTTTGAAACGTGCGGTGTGCTGGCCGTCGTTCAGTGCCCGGCACCCGACTCTGCGGAACCGAAATCAAACCCAAACTCCGGGCTCAGGGGGTCCGTTGGCCCTCGCACAGCGGGTGAAGAACAGCCCTCGTTTTAGGACAAGAGCCTGACGCCTGAGCCGCTTTGGGAATTCGGCCAACACGGAACCTGTGCTTGACAGTGGGGGCAGAAGGGAGTGCTGGATGCAGGGAGTGCCGGATGCAGGCAGCGATGGACACAGGGAGTGCCAGACACAGGGAGCGATGGATGCAGGGAGTGATGGACACAGGGAGCGATGGACACAGGGAGTGATGGACACTGGCACCGATGGATGCAGGGAGTGATGGATGCAGGGAGTGATGGACAGAGGGAGCACCGGACACAGGGAGTGATGGACACAGGGAGTGATGGACACAGGGAGTGATGGACACGGGGAGTGATGGATGCAGGGAGCGATGGACACAGGGAGCGATGGACGGAGGGAGCACCGGACACAGGGAGTGATGGACACCGGCACCGATGGATGCAGGGAGTGATGGATGCAGGGAGCGATGGACACAGGGAGCGATGGACGGAGGGAGCACCGGACACAGGGAGTGATGGACACCGGCACCGATGGATGCAGGGAGTGATGGATGCAGGGAGCGATGGACACAGGGAGCGATGGACGGAGGGAGCACCGGACACAGGGAGTGATGGACACCGGCACCGATGGATGCAGGGAGTGATGGATGCAGGGAGCGATGGACACAGGGAGCGATGGACGGAGGGAGCACCGGACACAGGGAGTGATGGACACCGGCACCGATGGATGCAGGGAGTGATGGATGCAGGGAGCGATGGACACAGGGAGCGATGGACGGAGGGAGCACCGGACACAGGGAGTGATGGACACCGGCACCGATGGATGCAGGGAGTGATGGATGCAGGGAGCGATGGACACAGGGAGCGATGGACGGAGGGAGCACCGGACACAGGGAGTGATGGACACCGGCACCGATGGATGCAGGGAGTGATGGATGCAGGGAGTGATGGACACAGGCACAGATGGACGCAGGGAGCGGTGGACACGGGGAGCGCAGAACCGGGAAGGTGCTCTCGGAGCCCGCGGCTCTACGGCTGCAACCTTATTTTGGGGAAAACGAGCAGGGAGGGTGTCCAAGCAGTTCCGCGTGCACCGTCACTGCCGCTGCTGCCTACCTGCAGGGATCACGGGGTGACGGCTGCTGCCAAGGGGGGGGCAAGGCACGAAGGTCAGGAACACGCAGCCCAGAGGCTGAGAATTAGGAAACAAACTCTTCAAGAGTAGAGCGTCTAGTCCACCTTCTTCTTGTGAGCAAGTCAAAACCACCTCTACTGCCGAATTCTTATCAGACTTCACCCTGAAAACTTCAGCTGCACAGTAACATCCATCCGCATGTACATGAGTCACTCCAATAAGAGGAGCGAAAACAACTCTGAGTGCTCCTGGAGTGCCTTTCTGCAGTCGATGACAAGAGGAAACGGCCTCAGGTTGCACCAGGGGAGGTTTAAATTGGATATTAGGGAAAATTTCTTTGCAAAAAGGGTTGTGAAGCAGTGGCACAGGCTGCCCAGGGCAGTGCTGGAGTCACCATCCCTGGGGGGCTTGAAAAGACAGGTAGATGCGGTGCTGAGGGACGTGGGTTAGTGGTGGGCTGGGTAGCGTTAGGTTGATGGTTTGACTTGATGACCTTAAAGGTCCCTTCCAGTCCAGATGATTCTGTGACTCTGCTGCGCTGCGCGGGCGGTGCCGGGGCAGCAGGAGACCCCTATGCGTCCGACCAGGGAAAAAGCAGTTTCCCAGCCCCCGGAGGCGGCTCAGTACCCCAAAGTGCCGTTTGGTCCTGG